AATTTTAATTTTTAAATTAAAATTAATACAAACTAATCTTTATAAATTTATAATAAAAAATATATTTATTATATTTTTAATATATTTTTTAAATATTATATTAAAAAACCAATAAAATGCTAGCCGCCGTAGTTGACTTCCTACAACCCAAAATGGCGTTGGATCCGCGTTCTTACTTAAATTAAAATGGCCAAATCCCCTATTTGTACCTTCCATTTATTTCTTTTTCGGGGTCAACACTTTTCAGAATTTTTTCTCTCTATTCACATCTTTCACCTTTTAAAACCAGTAAAAAACCTAACATTTTAACGGACCGTCATGCACTATTAAAAAATACACTACGTGGCATCCAAAAATTGACATGGCACATACGACGTTTTCTTATTCGTTAAATTCAGACGTGAATTTGCTTTTTGATGATGTAGCTTCTTTTCTGCATATGTCGACGCCACATGTGCAGTGGGGTCCACTGCACAGGACTTCGCGTCCCCCCACAAAAAAAAAATGAACAGGAGCAATGGGGCCCACTGCACAGGACTTCTGCGTCCCCCCACCAAAAAAAAAAAAATTTGAACAGAAGCTCTGGGTTCCTCCGGAGGAACCCGATCTGCGTTCCTCGGTTCCATGAGGAACCCGACTCTGGGTTCCTTGCAACGAGGAACCCAGATCGGGTTCCTCCCTTTGGGTTCGGGAACCCAGAGCAAATTTTTTTATTTTTTTATTTAAGTAAACCACGTAATCAAAAAAAGACATCCACGTTGAATTACTAACGGCATATATTGGCCACGTCAATTTTTGAGTGTCACGTAGTACATTTTGTAACGGTACCGTGACGGCGCATTAAAATGTTGGGTTTTTTACGAGTTTTGAAAAATGAAAGGTGTGAATAGGAAGAAAAAATTCTGAAAGGTATTGACCGCAGAAAAAAAATAAATGGAGGGTGCAAATAGGGGTTTTGGCTAATTAAAAATAGAGAAAAAAGAAATTAGTAAGAGAGACCCAATATTGGGTTGGCAATCTATTGATTTTCCTCTAATCAAAACCATTAATGTGATCTTGATCTTTTAACTCTTAGTTTTAGATGTAGGTTTGGATTTCAGTTACATTAATCTGTGTGGCTATAATTTTGTCCAACACAAGTAAAATTTGCGATGTATATATAGAGGTATTGTGATTTGAACTCAATGTAAACAAAATGAAATAGAATTGTGAGTTTATTGGTTTTTTTTTTTATTTATTTTAAACAGACACTATAATTCTATTATATTAAACATGATTATCCAGATACAACAGCACAGACGAGTACTTAGGTGGGGGCAGTGTGCCCAAGGAGGTGGACA